TAGGACTGGGAATCATGCACATCACCCAGCCGAGCTCAGAGAGGGCCCTAGCTCAGGAAGCCCGTGGCTGAAGCTGCTACCCACAGAAAAGGGATGCGGTGCTAATGTTGCTGTGGCTACGTGGTGCAAATAAAACCTGGAAAAGCAGGAATGCTTTAGGTTACTTGGGAAGATCCCAGCAGGGACCAAATTGAAGGAGGCCTTTGAAGTGAAATAATGAGGAGATAAAATGTTGTTATCTGACAATTTGAGGGAAATAAGAATTGAAGCATACTCTGCTTGAGCTTGCACATAAGTTAGGAGGAAGCTTGTGTATGCAATGAATGTACTATATTCAATCCAGTAATGAATATACTATATTCAGTTCAATTGTTCAAGTAATATGCGCTTGAACAAAAGTATTTGCTGTAAGAGAGGCCAGAAAGCAGATTGTTGGCGTTTGCTGATGCAGGCAGAATGACTGAGGGCAACGCTCAAGTCAAAATATGTTCTCAGAACCATACACAATAACTGCTCAAACATGAGAAAAATAGCTTCATTCGCTCAGTCAAGAGAGAGCAGCAAGCCTGTGACGAGACTGCTGAACTAGAAATATCTAGTTGTTAGTGATCTTATCTGCTCAGGTTTCTACTGCACCTTGCAGATGTTCTGGCACCGCTCGGGGATGGCCTGATGTACGGAGTTCATGGCAAGATTCTGCCTTTGCAAGCAGCGGTGAGTTGAGACACGTTCATTACATTGCAGTGCTCGGGGTTACACGAGAGCCTGGGGCTGCCAGTGTGGGAGAGGAACCCAGGGGTTTATGCAGGCAGAGCTCTTGTATACATGGAAATCAATTAGGCACAGATTTAAAAAAGAGATGTCTGCATTTGTGTTGGATTATGGCTTTGTATCTGTAAGGGACATTGCCTGGGAAGCCTGATCAGCACCTTCAGAAACAGTTACACAAAAAGAACCTATCCACAAAACTCTTTCTAGCAGGGCCAGTGGTAGTTCATAAAGGATTTCCTTTCAGAAATTAAATCCTGATGGAGTTCAGCTGGATGTTTGCCTTCAAATACTTCATATTTTTCACATTCTGCTATCTGTATATTGTGTAGAATGACACTTGCATGTAATGGACGAGGGGCTCTTTATATTTTTTCCAATCAGGTGACTTATTCGCTGCTGTATGGTTACTAACTGGAAGGTTTTGTTGCATCATGAATCATAAGAGTCTGTTAGATATTTTTCTTGCCTTTGGAATACATCCTGGGTTTCCTGAGCACATTCAGTGCAGCTGTGCAAGAGGAATGTGTCTTCAGGTCAGGAAACAAAGTTGTCTTCACAAGCTGCCTGCAACAGTCTGTGTGTTAAGAGTAATTTGGAGAAAGCTGTGGCCTCTGCTTGTATAATAATCTCAGCAGATGTGAACACTCCAGAACTGATTTTTTTTTTTTTACCAGAGTGATATTCTGGGTGAGATTCAACACTTTTGCTGTTGATGAGGAGTCTCTACTTACTGCCTGCTTTCCTGCTTGGTAATTTGAATGCACTTCCTTACTAGATCTGGCAACCTGTCCGCACTGTTGTGAGTTAAAATGATGATGGCAATTCTTAAAAAAGAAAAAAATCAAAAAAGAAAAAAAAAAAAAGAATCATGAGCATCTATTTCATGCAGCAACAAATAGGTCCAACTGTTATTTCTTCTTGGAAACATTTCTGGCACTGCGTCCTTCACTTTTATCATTTATCAGTTACTTGAGTGCAACATCACTTATAGTACATTAATAACACAGAAATAGCGAAACTCTCCCTATAGGAACTGTTCTCAGGCCAGAACATTCTTGGAAGAGAATCCACTTGAGCTTTCAACAGCAAGGGCTACCAGCTGCAAACTTGCTTCTGAGAAACCAAGCTACAAAAATGGAAATTTCCCTGTTCTTCAGCATTTCTATATGGTAACATAGAACCTTTACAAATTCAGTAAGAAAATATTTCCTGAAGCAGCAAGATGACTGTTAAGACTGTTAAGACCTTCCTCAAAGTTTTTTGACATTTCCCTCAAGTCTTACACGAGTGCAGAGATTCAGGCATTTAAATAAGAGTACATGTTAACTTATAGGCAGCAAATTAGGTAAATTGGTTTACCTGACATCATTAGGTGAGGTGACTCATATGGTACAAGTATGATGAAACCTGGAAAGCTGCTGCTCAGCTATGCCTGTGTGGAGTAAAGACCACCTCATATAACTGCATATATTTGGAAAAGACAGAACAAGGACAAATAGGGAAAGGAAATTCCTTGGGCTTCTAGTGACATTTCTAATACTTGACACTTAGCACTTGACAGGATAGTTTAACTGATCAGCTTAACTGACCTTATAAGAAAAAAAAACCCTCTGTCTCTCTTGAGAAGTAGCTGCCCAAGGTGGGAAGCAAAAGCCTGGACTATCTGGAGAAAGACATTGGTAATTTGTGCAGATCCAAATTTCAGCACATTCCACTTTAGAAAAAAATACATTTTTTTCTATACATACCTCCTGCATGATACTCTTGGCACATGTTTAAAGCCATTCATTCCTGGACATGATACAAAGGGCCCTTAAGCTTGTGATTTGCATCTGTTAATTTAACCTCACTCCTCTGTTAATTATTTGTGTGAAAGATCTGAACAAAATAAACACCCTCACCCAACATAAAAAAAAGACAGATAGTGCAAAATCATAATAATTCAATAATATGAAAACTAGAGAGTTCAAAATGCCAGTATCTAATGGTGGTATTTAGTCTTCAGTGTGAAATCTGACCTTCTCACTAGTCAGTTGTTAGGAAATCCTGAGCCCCACTAAAGTCAGTGGCAAGACTCAGAATGACCTCAGCAGAGCTGGGATTTCATTATTTTCTTTATGTGTAGCAAAAATAACTGAATACGAGTAAAACATGTAAGCATTTTTCCATGTAAGTACATTTTATTCATTGATTATTTTATGCAATGGCATTTAAATATTTTCAGTTTACTTGGTCCTTGTCAACGTAAGTAATGTGGTGGAAAAGCAAGTGGAAGAGAATTCTAGTCTTTAAGACTATAATTTGTTTCAAAACCAAACTTGAAGCTATTTATGCATGTGCAATTAATTGTGAACTAATACACACATTACTGTGGCCCTTTTTACTGTTTACAGACTATTTGTAAACAGATTGTGAAATCTTTCAATTTCACTTCTATGCCAAACCAGTCCTGAGTTCCATCAGGAAATTGTTCCTGGTCTGCGAGTGATTTATAAATAATCATAGATCACATTGGTGAACATGTCACAGGATGTTCTTTCATCCAAGTGAAAGATTTGGGTTTGCCATACTATATTCCCAACTTAATTTAGGTTATGGGCCACGTGGTGCTTGTACCTTCTGCTGTACAGTGTGAACTTCTGGCTAGCAGAACCGAAACCTATCAGATATCTGGGATAACGTTACTTACATCCCTACTACTCCACAGATATTTAGCAACTGAAAATTTCTGGTGGCCTGCTGACCTCCATGGGTGCTGGATGCACCCACATCTGAAAGCAAACCTGTTCTCAGCTCTGGTTGGAGCTGCTCACCAGCTTGCCACAGACACACTGAGGAGATTGAAGGTGATGAACTGGAAGGTTTGCAGGGAAATTGCAGTTCAGTCAGGTGTATTTTTTTGGATGTCTCTTTTGAAAAGCCTTACACAAAGCTTCGTAAAATGGCAGGGAAATTCTTAGGAAGAAAAATTGATTTGATGCTCCACCTGTTCATCATGCTGAATATATAACCCAACATGTGCAGAGTGTTTACAATATCAGGGCTAGCTGGGAATCAGGAAGGAGAATATAATAGATACAGAAAAGTCAAGTCATGACATACAAAAAGTCTGTGAAAACTACTCTTAGATAGCAGCTGTGTTTATAAATAATGTATATATATGATGCTTATTTTTTGATATATGCTTTCTTTCATTAAGGAGGTTTAGGGCAGCTATTAAAAAAAATCTGAAGATACGGACTGAAAATATTTCCCTGTAGTTTGTTTTATTTTTTCCTAAACATTGAAATGCTGTTTTTATGGAAGGTTTCTGGCTTCTGCAAAGACTGCTTGTCCATTTTGATTTATCCTGGTCATCTCTCTGCAAATTTGTTACTGTAAGTACATTTGTCATTGCTTACATTTGCTTCATGTAGCTGTAGATGAAGCACTGCTGAGGTTAGGGTATTTAGATATGGCAAATGACAAACAGCATCCAAGCCTTTCAAACACAGGAAGCCCGGGCACCAGGAATAGTGTCTAATAGGCCCTCAGAGGAAACAGCCTCGTTGGAAATACAGATTTATTTACAAACACATCAAATAAGATGGGCCCTCAGCCTCCAGGCAGGGCAGGGGGTGCATTTTTTTCCATAAACACCCATGGGGACTGTTTTTGTGACGCTGGATCCAGCCTTCGAGCGGGCAGCCCTCTCCCCTGGAGCGGCGCCATCCGTCTGGCCGGGGGTGATGGGCCCTGGCCGTGCAGCCCTGCAGGTTGTCCCGAGGCTGCATCCTGTGATGTGGCTCCTGGGCACGGATGTCGGACCTGGTGAGGGCTTTGCTGGCCGAGTCCCACATGTTACGGAGGCTTGTGCCAAAAAGCGTTTGGAGAAAATCTGTCCTTCACTGTGCGTAGGCAGGTCCTTGACTGTGGGTGTTTCACGTGGTGAGGAATATTAAAAATAAGGAAAAAAATACACATATGCCAAAACTTGGGATGCATATAGACTGGAACTTAGAGAATGTCCCATTTGTGACCTCAACTTTGCTGTTCCAGACTCCTCACCTCTCTTCTCCAATGCATGGAGAAAGATGTTAATATTTTCAATGCACAGATAAGTGCTGCTGCTTCCTTGTTTTATTTCATGTCATCTTTTTGCTGTTTTCACAGGTGTTGACAGAAATCTGTGGGGCCAGGCTAAAACCAGGAAAGTGATTCAGCGGGACGGCTAAGCCACCCTTGCTCAACCAGGGCAGATTTCTGCATGTGCCGGGATTACCTCTGCCGGCGCTGAGCCTGCCGGTAAGCCCCAGCCTTTGACTTAAACAGGAGCAGTGTGAGGTGACTCCTGAACGTGATTAAAAATCCCATTCCCCAGTTTCTTTGCGTGTGCCTTTCTTGGAGTACCTGTTTACCTGACTCTTCAAGGCAGTTTGTACACCTGGGAGTTTCTCAATCGGCTGTGGAAGCCATGGCTGCTGCTACAGGGAGGTGATGGCCGGGCCTCAGAGGCTCTAATCACAGACCCGAGCTCCTTTCCTGCTGCTGGCTGCAGGGAGCCTTTTCCCAGGGGAAGGGCTGAATAATAACTTGACGTTTTGGACCTGTGTGCAATATTCATCGGGCTGTGGTAGTGCGGGCTTGCAAACGCTTTGACTGCCTTCCAGGAGGCTTTCGGCGTAACCTAAGCTGGTCATGAATTTCACATGCAAGTGCAAAAGATGCAAATAAGCAGCTCCCCACCTACTGTCACTGTCTATATTCATTAGAGAGACAGATTGTTTGGTGTCCAGATAATCATGGGGAAAAAAAAAAGGTAAAATGCAAGTAGTCAGGATAGAAATGAGGCATATAAAATTATTGAGCATTTTCCTTATTCAGATAAAAAGTAAAATAGCAGTGTTGATCAATGGGCTGCTCTTCCCACATCTCACTAATTTCTTTTTTTTTTCCCCCATAAAGAAATTGATTGAAATTATGGTAAAATTATCCTGAGAGCAAGATATCTCAAAGTTGGATGCACAGCAAAGAGAGCACTGGTGAGTGTTTCCAATTGACTGTTGTTCACAGATTTTATCTTCACATTTGTAGTCAACCCAAGACCCCTGAAATGGTTGCTCAGGAGCCTGCAGGAGCTTCAAAAGAAATGTAGAGTCAATCGAAAGGAGACAAGATGCCTCCTTGACCAGGTCTCAGTGCCTGACTCTTGGAAACTCGCTTTCCTTGGGACTGGTGGGAGAACAAGAGGCAGCAGAGGGTGCAGGACACAGATGGCCAAGGGCTGCCAGCGTGGTGTGGGGCAAACTGCAGGCCCGGCAGCGCTGCATTGTGACAGCAAGTTTTATTTTCCATGCAAAAAGTTTTTAACCAGATGTGAGGATCCACTGAGAACTGGGTGAATAGTTGTGATGAGGCTCAAAATGAGGGACCCTTGAATGCTGCATACTCAAATGAAAAAGCTCTCAAAGAAATCAGTGAAAAAAAAACATACAGCTTGCACAATCTGGTCAACAAGAGTGACCTGATCTGGTGCTTTCAGCCATTATCTGCCACAGGATTAATGGCTGATTGAACCATCATCATCCTGCCAAGACCAGTGAAGTATCATTGTCAGGAACAGGCTGCCATCTGTTCAGCAGAGATGAAGTATAAAGCAAAAAGAAATTAAAATTGGGGAATTCAGAGCAAAAACACACCTCTGATATTTGATATTTTCATTCAAAAGCAGTCACATGCCTATGATTTTCATGAGCACATTTTTCCTAGAGTATTTTAAAAGACAATGGAAAGACAATGGGATAAATAAACTTAATGAGAATTTCAGCAAAGGCTTCCCTTTAGTCAGTATATTCTCTATATAAACAAAGCATAAACAGAACATAACTGTATTATTTCTACAATAGCTTTTTAGAACTGGAATTGTCTAAAGTTTTGCATCTCTTTTTTTTTTTTTTTTTTTTTTTTCTGGTTATGGTCCTGGTCACAACTCCTTAGAAGTCTCTCTTCACCACTCAGAAGAGTTGCTTTGTGTTTTCCAAAAGAAGAGAACCAATACGCGACAGCTTTAAAGCTTTAACAAGTCCAGGCCAACTCAGTCAATGTACTTCCTTATATTTCAACTGTACGGTTTGAAGAATGTCCTTTCAAGAGAGAGGATTATAATGATACACCAAGCTGTGAAATGGATGTGCCATCTAAGGTGAGACTTGTTTTGATTTAAACCCTGTTTTCTTTTCACAGTGAGATAAGGGTTCAGAAAACTTACCTGAACTTGCAAGATCAAAACAATGGCCACTGTGCCCGTCAAATAGATATTATTTGCTTCTGAGGAACTATATTCAAGAATGTCAGCGTTTATAACTGACAATTACCAAGGCACTGCCAAGCCTAGGTAATGAATCGGTTATTAGCAGAAAAGTCAGACAGTGCTAATCTCTTTACCAGCTAGTCAGCACTTTCAGACAGCCCATGGAAATGGCAGATGCTGCTTACTTAAAACAGAATTCCCAGCTACACTTCTAGCAATGCCGGGAACAGCCAGGGGCCAAAAAGTGGTGTTGATCTCTCTTCGATTAAAAAAAATATTCAGATGTTCCTTGCTGCACAACGTGCTGCTCTGCCTTTGTTTATTTTGTATTTGCGAGCTGCATCCTTTTGGACATTCTGCACATTCCTTTTTCTTCTTCCTTCACTCAGAAGATTTCTTTAGAAAAATAAGCTAATCCCCAAATACCTGTCTCTTTGGCTTGTTGGGTGGAGAAAGTGTTGCAATCGTGCGGTTGGGACGCTGCAGCCTTGCCACGTCGGTGCAGCGCTGCACGCCCGCACCCCGAGCGCCCTCGGCACAGGCAACCGGGCCGGGCGCTCCGGGGCAGCCGCAGCTATTCGCAGATTCAGCCTGCGTTTGAAATTAATTCAGCTCCCCAGTCCCCGGGTGCCTCAGCAGAAGGGCTTGGGAGGAGGAGGGCAAGGGTAGAGTGCGTGAGCGCACTCAGAAGCAGCAGCGCTGCTCCCTCGCTCAGACCCCGCCATAGGGACAGCGAGCTCACTAGCATCCCGCGCACATGGCAGCACTGCTGCACAGGGCTCTTGCTTCAGGCCTGGGTTATCCCTTTGGCTTGTGCTAGTGAATAAAACACCAGCACATCCTGTGCATCAGCAGGGCAGCTCAGCGCTCCTTGCATTATGCATCACAGCGGCTCGGTTTTCTCCTCTTGCTGTGCTGGTTTGCCTACAGCCTGATGAAGCCCAGGGATGGCTTGAGTTCTTCTTTTCTGGTTAATGCTGCCTGGAGCAGGCAGACAGAGCCGTTTTCTGCTCGTGGGGCTTCTCCTGAGATCAGCCTTGCAGCAGCGTGCTGGGCTGGGAGGAGAAGGAGCCTGCGAATGTGCACGGTGTGTTTGACATCCCCTAGAGCTTTGAGGCAAAATACATCCTCCGAATTCTTGCTTATCTATGGCAGGCACAGAAATGTGTTGCTTGTGTTTTAATTCCCACTTGTACATATTGTCCCACTACTGTGAGACCATTTTCAACTCTATAATACAGACACAGGCGTGGAGCAACATATGGGTCACAGCCAGGGACAGGTGTGTCACCAAAGCTGTTCTGCGACAACCTGACAACTCTTTGACAGCGTTTAGCACTGCTCAAGCTGCTTCTATTACCTCCCTTAGTTCTGAACCCACTATTTCTTTATCCATTCCACAGCTCAAACTATTTCAATTATTCCACTCAGTTTAAAACCTGTTTTATTTCTTTATCCTTTAGCTCCTTTTATTTTACTTGGACGTTTGCACTGGCCAACAGAAGGACCGCAGAGACACGATGGGTCAAGTACAAAATAGTGACAGGATCATCACTAAAATATTGTTATGAGCCATCTACCTGGCCAAAGGTTTGTCAAGGCTGATTTTTGTCTGGCGATGCACCTATTTCTCTGGCACGGTGCACTGGAGTGCCACTAAGGATTCCTTTGAAGTGACATAACTTACAGTGAATTGGCCCTAAATGATGTTAATAGAAAAAAAAGTCCCATCTGTCCATTTGCCTTGCAGCTAGCTGAATTTGTGAAATGGAAAGAATACATGCTGTTGGGTCGGTCCCCAGAGCAGTTTCAATCAGCATAATTCTGTTTTAGGGCTCTTTCAATTGAATCAGAGCAGCTCTGGGTTACAGATAACAATGCAGCCTTGGGAGTTAAGGCCTTCAACAGAATCAAATGCATGTACATTTAATTAAAAATAATAACTGCTGCAAGCTTACTTAGAGGAACACATAATATTCAACAATACAATATCCTCTGAGTGTTGCCCGTGCATTAATTGTTATCATTTTAACAGAGGGATCATTTAGTTTGGCTTTGGATTCAGATGATACCTGAGGAAAAGTGTCTCATGCAACCTATTTGGAAAATAATGGCACTCATGGTCATAGGCATTTCTTTTCCATTTTATTTTTGCTTTCTTCAAATAGCAATACTACAAGCATGTGAAACTTAAAATTTCACATATATTCCTTTCTCATATTCCCTGGAGTTAAATGGTTTTGATTTTAGCAAACCTGGAATGTTGAAGGCAGGAAGCTGCTTGCTCATTTTTTGGAAAGCCCATGTCAGAACGATAAGAAGAGGACTGTACAGCATCACGAGGACTTCTGTTAGACTTCATCACTTTGCCATTACCAGTGCAAAGTGTAAAACCTGCCTGTGACAAACAACGCCCGTCGCTCCAGGGCTGCCGCTGCAGCACCCGGGAGATGCTTCACCTGTAACCCGTGCTAACCTTCCTGTGCTGCTCGTGAGTGGAGACAGGGCTCTCGGTGGCTGCTGCATCTCCCCCGTGGCACCTGCTACACAGGGGCTGCCTCTGCCACCTCCCTTGTCTGCACGTGAGGCGATGCTGCTGATTTGGTACCCGGCTGGGCACACAAGGCATCCTCCCTTCACTCTTTACCACTGCCAAAAGCCGTTTATCTCTTTGTGATGAAAGGTTAGACAGGCATATATTGTTGCAGTGACCTTTTGCCCCGTGATATTACTGAATAATGTTGGAGCAGAGCTGGATTTAGGGATTAAGCAAATAGCAAACCCTAGTGACCTTAATTACTCTAATGCCTCCTTTAATCCCGTCAGAGCCATGCAAATGAAATGCACTTCTTGCATTTAGAATAACGATCGCTTGGTCGTTTTTAAGCCGCAACCTGGGCACATAATGTTGAAAATGTAACAAAAAGGCATTTGAGCCACCTGCTGTGCAGATGCCCACCGGTGTCACCGAGCTCCGTGCTGAGGTGACCCACGTGCTCAGCTGCAGCAGGGGCGTGAGGAGGGCTCGGGAGCGCCGCATCCCTCCTTCCCATTGCATTCCCCGGGCAGATTCTTCTGGAGGGGACACTGGAGCAGGAAGCTCTGACTCCTTTGACCTATTCCCGCATAAATATTCAGGACTAACTTCATGCCAATAATGTGAAGGGTATATTTTATTTATAAATATATATATATGTGTGTGTGTGGGTGTGTGCGCGCGCGTGTATGTGTGTGTGCCCCTGTAAAGCAAAGGCTATGAAGAGCCAAGGGTATTTGGAGCTACCAGGGACACTGAGCACAGGCACTAGCTATGCTGCTCCTCTGTGGGTTGGACTTTAAAGCTTAGCTATGTCTTTAATTTTTTTAACCCCCATCCCCCAAAACATATTAATTATATATTATATATATGTTTTTATATATATATTATATATATGAGATGGTCTTGAGGTATTGGGTTTTTGCAGATGTTTTTGTGGATGCCCATAAGTTCAGCTGACGCTGTCCTTATATCTGCTTTTCTTTAGCACCCTCACGAGAGTCGTTAGCTGGTGCTCAGCCACACAGGAGCTGGTGCTAATCCAGCCCTGCAATAAGCACCTGCTTAACTTGCAGCAGGTACCCAATCCTGCTGACTCCATGATCAGTGCTCCTAAGGGATGGATTCCTGTGTGCTAGCAGTAAGGGCAAAATGCCCTTGCCTGTTCCCTGATGTGCCCTGGGGGTTTCCATGTATTCCCTCCTTCTCCTGTCCTGAACTCTGGGTAACGAGAGCTGGGGGCAGCTGCGTGCCGGCTGGTGGCCATGCATCTGCGAGGAACCCAGCCTGGCCACAGGCATATTTTTCCATGGGTATATCCCTGCTGGTTAATAACGAGGCTTGGCCTGGGCACAGCTAGCACACATCCCTGGGGACTGCTGTCCAGCAGGGAGCTGCCTTCCATGCTTCTCTGCTCCCGGGACTGGAGGTGACACCTCGTTTGAGACCTCGTCTCGAATGAGACACCGTGTTCCCATGTCACAGCAGGCTTTCTCCAACCCATATGGCAGAGGGTTTGTGTCCAGCAAGCAGGATCTGCACTTCCTTATTTTTTAAACTAAAATCCCATGGACAAACCTCACGGGCAACCAAGGAAGGCAAGGCCACAGCAGACACAAAGCGATCTCATCCCGGTCTCTTTTGCAGATGCCGCTGCCAACGAGCGACGCCGGCTCTTGATGTCCACCTGGGCAGGCCGAGACGCCAGGGAAATGGGAGCTTGCAGGAACCCAGCACCATCTGCTGCTGGCCCCTGCCAGGCCTGGCCTGCAGTGTGCACAGAGTGCAGGCAGGACAGCAGCAGGGAGGCGGTCAGTGCTTCCCGCCCCTCGCTGCCGCCTCGCCAGGACGCGCAGAAAGGGCAGGAGAGGAGCACGGGGCTGGGCACTGCTCCAGCCGTCGTGATGCTGTGCAGGTGGGACATTTGCGGAGTAAATCTGGTCCCTGTGCCTAAGGAAATGGAAATGGGAGCAGACAAATAGTAGTAATATTGCTCTCAGCATCCTAAAAATGATTGCTGCATTGCAGGAAGACGCCTGTGAAGCAGTAAATAGCTCACCTGGAGGCCAAGTACTTCTGTTTTAGAGGTACCATTTGTGCTTTCTGCATGCATCGCAAAATACACAATTATGTAGAGTTTAACAAATCAGATAACACTGGCAATTTATTCCATTTTTACCTGTTTTTCATGGCTGTGATTTTCCTGAATGCATTTCCTATTCAGAACTAGCTGTAGAAGAAATCAGATTCTATAAATTTTTTTGACTTGTTGACTGTGAATTGCTTGTTCCAAGTATTTGACATTTAAAGTATATTAGTAATGCTTAATTAGGTGCAAAATAATACACAGAAATGTTTCTGCTGTCTTGTTGTATATGGTTAATTTCTAAAATAGGATTTTGACTGCAAACAGGCACAATTACGAGCTTTTAATTAACTTTACTGAAAGTTTTGTCAGAATTATTTCAAATTCACTTTGCTTTGATAATGTACTGCTAGTGTTTACTAGAACATTTCTAGGAAGCAAATTCAACTAATGTAGATGAAACTAATTGTGTTTTCCTGAGGCCAAAATATCGCAGAACTTTTCAAGTGTTCTTTCAATTCTGTGGTGATGTTTGGCTTTGAGAGGGTCAGCAAAGGAAATGCAGGAAAAGATAGAAAAATGAGCCTGACACCTACTCTGAAAAAAGAAACTGAGTGCTTCAAATAAACAAATAAAATACAAATATTGACTACATTTACGCAAATGATGTGGAACAGGCAAAGAGCAGCACATGCAGACCTTTACTACACATCCCAGCAGACTTAGAACAGCTGAGTAAGAGCTGAACTCTTCTGAAATAGATCGCGTTTTCAGTGATGCTATTTTGTACTAATTGAATGGAAATAGTGATGTCTGGGACTTGAGCTGATATTTTCATCCTATTAATCAGGAATGGCCAACATAGATCTGCAGAAATGGTTAGCAATCCATGACTTGTGTCACTGACTTGGAAAACATATTAGGAACAATATTTTACTTCCCAAAGTTACACCTCATCTTCAAGAAAAGATGGCACCATTGAAAAATCTGAGCTCAGGAAAATAAAATGTAAATGAATGCCTGCAGTTGCAGAAAGCTGAGAGACCTGACACATCAGGAGGCATAATGTCATGGCAAAACGCAGGATAAGAGAAATAACAGTATTCAGTGGTGCCTGAAGCAGGCTGCTTGTGGTGGAGCATGATGGATAGCATGGAGGGGTTACTTGGAGAATGAGTCCAGTCAGACACACCTGGCTGCCTGGATCAGACAAGAAAATGGGCAGGCTCAGGCACGGGCGTAGCAAGGATATCCTTGCCGTGCTGCACGCTGTCATGTCTGGGGCAGAAAAAAAACGTGTCCTGTGCAGCAGGATGATGAGCAGTGTGGAGGTCAAGCATGTAGCGCTGTGCTCGAGACCTGACCAGACCGTCAGTACGTGCAGATGGATGGATGTGCACGGCTCTGGGTGTTTGCAGTCCATGCTGACACTGTGGTTTGTGGTGAAGGGAAATTTCCTATGCAGCTGCAAATGCTATGTCCTGTTTTGCCTGTCATGTTCCTGACAGATTGGGTGGTAATTCTCAGCAGAAAAGGTCTTCCTCTGCCCACTGTACAGTGCAGTGGTAACTGCCTCGTAATGCCTTCCAGCTCAGAGCTGGCTGAGCGCAGAGAGAGAAAAACACTCTGGCACTCTGCAGTCTGCTTTCACCGGGGGATGCTGGCATGGAAGCTGCCACTTTGCACCAGACCAAATGGTGGAGTGGCAGGGAGGGTCTCCAGAGTACAGGAACTTCAACATGACGTAGACAACCACATCAGGAGAAAAGCTCCAGATGAGGCAAAAAAACAAAGGAACCAAGAGAGTTCAGTTGATTCAGTTGCTTTATGTTTATACCTTGAAGATATAGATAGCTCAGGTCAAGAGGTACAGTTCACTTTTACCCAGACTAAGACAGCAAACTGCAATTGTCTCAGACAAGGACTCTTGCTGCTTTCAGGAAGATGTGTGAATAGGGCAATTGGTGCTGGAGAGGCTGCCCATAGAGACATTCAAAGGTCTCTTATCAGAGAGATTCAGTGGAAATTAATGAAGAAATTCATAGGAACTGTGTAGCAGGTGGACCTGTGAAAAGGCTGAGGTCAAGTTGTATGTCCAGAACAGCCTCCCTTGGCTGTGATCACTGCAAATGTAAGTAACTAACTTCATGCCATTCAGCCTTGCAGGACGAGTGGAATGCTGAGAGGCATGCTGCAGGCTACGGCCTGGCCAGGCCCTTCTGGAAAATGGGGGAGAAGAGTTTTTGTTGGGGAGCTCCTGCATGTGCCTAGGCACCTGCATGTGGAGGGAGAGTTGCTGTGGAGCAGCAGGTAACTCCTCAGCAAAGAACAGGCATTTGGTTCTTCCTGAGGGACCAGGGGCTTGGTGCCAGCACTGCTCCCTTTGGTTGTGGCCTCAGTTGCTCCTCTCTGCTGACGTCAGGGCATCGTGGGGCAGGCCGGAGCAGATGCCAGCGGGAATGTGTCTCCTGCACTGTGCACCTCTCTGTGCACTCTCACCACTTCCCTTTCTTCCATTCCCCCCTGGTAGTGGTGGTGGTGGTGGTGGTGCGGCTCCTCCAGACTTCTTTTCTTTCACAAGCAGCTGTTCTCCCTTTTGCCCGGAGAGCTGGTGAGGGGAGAGTGTTGCCACAGGGAGGCCAATAAACCTGTGAGCCTGCATGCAGGAGGAACCATCCATCACATCCCAGTGGACCGGCAGTCAGTCAATGAAGTAACTCCACAGGCACAAGCGTGTACTGCTTCAGGGTCTCTGCATGCCTGCTGAGGAGAGCTGCAAGACAGAGCTAACGATTCACTGACTGTCACCGCATGTTTTCTTTGAGCCGTAGCCCAGAGATGTGCAGAACCCAGGCGGGCAGCTCCGAGCATTGGGAGGCGGTGAAGGTGCACAGGAAGCGGGGACTGAACCTCGTCAGAAGGAGGGCCACCTCACAGGAGGTGAGAAATCCTGCTGCCCAGTTGAGGAGAGCCCCGGGTAGGCAACAGCTGAGATGGGCAGTGCCTGGGGGCTGTGCTGCAGCGTGACAGGTTGGGGCTGCTTCTACCCCAGGTCTGTGTGCTACGTGTGCAACCCATAGGAAAGGAAACCTGGGCAAAGCTGAGGTGCAAAGCCACAGGCTGGAAACAGCCATGCCCAGCCCTTGTTAGCAGTTAGAGGAGCTCTCAGACTTTAATTGCTTCTTGGCCCAGGTCAAGCTCTTCCACATGACTATGCTCAGACTGGTATCTGGAGGCCAATCTGCTTTAGCAGTCTCCAGGCTTTGACAGGCTTTAGCTCAGGTAACCAGCCCCCAGACATGATTTCTGCTGGGCAGCCTGTTGGCCAGACCCCTCCTGAGCTTCCCTGCCCAGCCCTGGCCTCCACAGAGCAGCGGCCCCACACAGCCTGCCCCACACAGCCCTCCTGGCCACTGCTCTGGGGCAACACAGGTGGCTGGGGCAGCAGCACGCAGACCATGCAAAGCAGCAGCCTGAACTGCTTGCACTTAGCCTACAGACAGTGCCCGAGACACCGAAAAAGCTGGCACCGCCGCCACACAACCCCGTTCCTCTGCTTCCTTTTCACCCCAGAAGGCATTAGCTGTGTGGGAAGGCCAGGAAGCCACTGCGTTCATTCCCTTTCTCCTTCCTGTCTGGTCTTGCCTTGTCACTGCGCGTTTTGTCTCTTCTTGACTTCCAGCTGCTTCTGCCAGGTCAACCTGAAAATCTGCCCATCAGATAACCGAGGGCTCCCTCAGCCTGCTTTTTTGCTAGGCTAAGTCATCAGGAGGCCATACATGTCTTAAAGAATTTTTAGCCCAGAAAACAATTTGCCTTTTTCAGCAGTCACTGCATGAACTCCTTGGTGAAAAAAGCTGCTAATTTCGCTGCCTTTCCTCTCATTTTCAGTAAGACCACACTCAAAGTGACAGATGACTCCATGCTAGCCACGGTGGCAGCATCTGGCCCATGGGTGCCCGAGGATGATGAAACGGTGAAGACATGTGGACCCTGACTTCTCCAAAGTTCATGTAAATGGTTCAGTAAGTTCATCAGCTAATTCCTGTAAGAATATTCATAAGATATATATATATGCATAATATAATATATAATATTATATATTTTTATATCTATAAATTTAAATTTTCATGTAGATTTAGACATGTGAGTATGTAAACCTTGAAGTTTGAAAAGAGAGTACTTTTTTTCTGTAGCTCACTAGTGTCAGCCGTTTCAAATACCTTTGAAAAATCTAGCCGCTGGGAGCCTAACTGATTTTTTTGACTGATTTTTGACTTTCTCATTCCTGCCTCTAAGGCACTTGAGAACCTATATGAAGTATCCAGCTAACTTAGTTGCCATAACAATTCTGGTGTTTTAGCTTGAAAAGAGCATGAATGAATCTGTTACCCCTTCCTGTTACCCAGGGCTGCTGTGGCATGGCCCCTTATCTAGAGAGAAGTAGTTACTGTTCTCAGCAAGGGCACCTTCCCACTGTGGTTTGTACTCAGATCAGAATGGAGGGTTTCGTTGAAATAAAAAGTCTAGTCAATATTTAAAACTCTTTGTACTGCATGCTGACTTTCCCAGAAAGAAAGATTTAAGAAAAATTTAAGTTGAAGGTGAATTTTGGGAGTCATCTTGTCCAACCTCCTGCTCCACACAAGGCTAACTTCAAATGTCGTATCAGGAGATATAAATAATATTTTCCATTTATATAACAGCTTTTTCAATTCTTAGGAGTCTGGAGTGTTTTGTAATGCATATGCATGAACAACTATATCCACTACCTGAAATCCTTTAGGTATTTTGAGGTGGAATGTGACCATTCCTCAGCAGCATGTAGCAAAACTTCAAGGAAGTTTAACAGGTGCTTACAAAAAATCTCACATCGCCTCTTACTGAACCTCCTGCCAATCAGTGTGTCCTCATTACTCATTATACCTAACTTACATGACAGGATCATCTTTGTCTCTGAACAATAGGAGGTGGCTGGCATTTTGAAAGAGGACAGTTTTCTAAGGAAGTGTCAAGAAGAAACTGCTTGTTTGCTCCATCTCCCAGGCCTGCTTTCTTTTATGGAACAGATGAAAAATGGAAAAAGCCTTCTTTACAAATTCTTCAAATGTAGCCCAACACACATGCTTTTACTCTCAGCTATGGAAGAACTTCAAAGGTCTTGCTCTACCCTCTAACAGAGCCATCAAAAGCAGTTAAACAGAATGCTAATTATCTTTCTGGAGCCATTTTTTTTCACTGATTGTAAAGCATTATCTAATTAGAGGGATTGTTTGAGAATTCTCATTTGGCATATAGGCTGTCATTTTGGGGAGGATATTTGTTAGCTTTGGTAGCTTTGATTTTCAGCAAAAAGAGGAAATGTTCTTCTCTGATGTGCAAAGTTCAGCTCAACATTGACAAGGGGATAGTGGTCTTGGATGCCCAAGCACTAGTCTGCTGAAAGGGTGCATGGACTGCATGGATTCAGCTGAGCCACAATTTGAGCAAGACAGGGAGGTGAGTGCTTAAAAAAAAAAACAGAAAAAAACCAAAGTAGCTTGAAAACCTTGGTGTTCAGAGGGAGAAATGTGACTCCCTACTACTATATTGAAAATTATATTCTATAGCCATGGATTAGGAAGGCTTATTTGAATACTTACTGCTTAGGGGAAAAAAATCTAATTCTTGACTATTTCTTTACTAAAGACAAAATCTGGACAGTGGTAGGAGTGCTGCAATAGCCAGTGTTGAATTTGGATGTAGTCACGTTTTCCTTTCTTCCAAAGAGAAATGCCAGACAATTTCTTTTGAGTCACTGGGCAACCAACCAAAATGGACAAACGAGCGTTTTCTAGATGTCATTATTGATAACACATGACTGGCATTTTAGCAAGCAAACCTTCTCCCATTCCTGAGCCATGCTGTGCATTAGGTGGGCCCGGGGCTCCCCAGCACTGCTTGTGAACGTGCTCAAGTTCCTCCGATGGAATGCCGAGATTGTGAAAATATGAGAGACTAGTCCCGTCTTGCTAGCTGGCACAGCGGCCACAGCAAAGATATGAGTAACTTTGCCTTCCAAGTACAAAATGATTGCTGGCAGTACACTGTGAACATGTCAACTTAGGGGAACATATTAAGAAAAGGCCCATCAGTGGTTTTCTTTCTTTAAATGGTAGCCACTGAAAAGTTATGCAAACACTTCAGCTGTGGAATATATAATCTGACGTTTGGCAGGGCTCCTTTGTTGATCCAAGGAGTGAAGTATGCAGTGGATGGCTAGCAGTTGTTTCAGTGCTTATTCAAAATGATAAACTATATTAGATGTGTTTTTTTTTCCCCCACTTCTGCTCTAACTAGGTCACTCCCAGTAAATAAACCTGATTCCTTGGTTTTCTAACAATGAAATGTTCTTTTAGCGGCCACAGGCTAGTACAGAGGGAGCTGCAAAAGGGAATCAGAGAGAGATGGACGGAGTATGAGCCTGTGGCTATACATGAAAACGAGCCCAAACCAGAACCATCGATCTAAAACATTCACCCAAGCAAACGTGGTTGGTTTTAGTAAAACTATTCCCTGATCCAAGCCACCCAAGTTAAAACCTGGCCAAAGAGGTGCTGCTAAATTAAAAACATTTTCTGCACACTTCTAATCAAAAAGAATGTGCCTGAAATCAAAGCCTGTTTGTGGAGTCTGCCCCTGTAGTCTCAAGGTTTGGGCAACCTGGCCTAAACTCCTTCAGGCATTGATTTTGCAACAAGGGGAGCAAGAGGAGGAGAAAATCCCAAGTTGTGTCTCCAGAACTTAATCAGGTTTTGCTCACTGCCTAAGAAGGTTTACATGATAAATAAAGAAACCATATTTTCCACAGAAGATCCTTTAGCACCTGATATAACATAGTCTGTGCAACCACTGAGGAAAGAAAGCCATGTGCTGACTGTGCATTTTAACACCCTTAGAGAGAAAAAGAAAAGACCTGATTAAAATAAAATATTATTTTTATCATGTTTTCTTTCTACCTATTATCTACTCCATGTAAATACTCCCCCATTACTTCATTTTGAGGAGTTAAGCTCTTTCTAAATAGAATGCATTATGGATATGGACAAAGCTCAAATGATATCAAAAGGATCACGTGCTTTTCTAAATTTAAAAGAATGCCCTTAAAAATAGATATTGAGATGCTCAGTAATCAGAAAAAAAATATGAACTAATTAGTCAGGCATCAGTTTTACAGAAATCAACTGTTTTGAGAAGATAGGTCTTCAAATAATTTGGAAAATAAGAAGGAATTTGAAAAGAGTAACTGCTTCATCTGAGAAAAATCAGTAAATAGTGAAATGTGTGAAGACAATAAAACAAAATATTTCATTGCCACTGGAATACAAGACCTTGAATTGGAAACCACAAATTATTGCTATTTTCTGATCTAAGCTGCATATTTTCTATTTCCTATGATTTTCTGTTAGTTGAATCCTTGCTTACCCACACAGCCACTATTCAGAGCATATTAAACTTCTAAGGTTTAGTAACTGCAAGGTAGTGTTATAGGTTCTTGTAAGTTCTGCCTATTTCAGGGTTAGTAATAACAGTAATTCCTGTTGATTACCCACTGTTATCATTCTGTATCCACGAGTAGGCTGAATCATCTGTGAATCCTCACCTAATTCTAACCCAAGCACAAGGAACCCAAGGTAAAACTCAAATGAGAATCTTGCTACTGAGATTGGCTCACTTGGCCAACAACAGAAATGGCTCTTCTCTGAGCTTTCTCCTCGGCCTTGGTGGTCTTAAAATGTCCATTGACCTTATTCTTGTCCCAAAAGCTCATGGCAGCTCCTCTATGTCCTGCCTGATAGTAGTACCTATGTCATAGTCAGCACTGGATTCTTCCTTTCTCTTACCCAGGCTTGCATGTGCTCCAATGTATCACGACAGTATCATTTTGTGGTTCCTTCCCACAGCCTTTGAGATTATGGGGCTGATGTGTGAAATGGAAACCTTTGGTCTCACACACCAATATGTGCTGTGACTCCCTCTTAAAATTCTCCTATCCTAGAAACAGACTCACACCCACGCGCATACACAGACAGAAACTTCACATCCTGCCACTAGGCTTTGATACACTGAGCCATATAAAATATATGGTACCCTTGTGGTTGGAGGAACCCTATGGAAATAAATCCAACACAACCAATACATGGTGATTTAGTATGAAATATTACCCAAACTCGTCCTGATGCTACATAGCATCTGTTGAATCAAAGAGAAATGAAGGAAGGAAGCCATCATTTAAAACACTAAAAGAAATGAAAGATGTTCAAGATCAGACTTTTTCTTCTTTTTTTTTTCCTTTTGAGAATGAATGAGCCTTCACATTCCTTGCAGCATTTTTCACTCAAATACAGCAGCTATAACCAAGACATCTGGTCAAAGGCTGCAGCATTGCTAATATTTACTCCACAAAGAGAAAGCCATGCACAATTTTATTAGATCTGCTAGGGAAAAATGACTTTCACAGGATCCACTGACAGTGAATGACTGGGTGATAACCCAACATGATGAAATTTTATGTTAATAAGAGCATTTTCTACCATGCACATGGGGAAAAATGTCCTGCCCTTACACACATATAGATAAACTCTAAATGAGAAAGTGTCTGCATTTCAATAAGAAATTCAGGAAGACAGGAATCATGGAAGAAAATTCTTTGCTAGCACCACCTCTGCATTAAGAAATCTTAATGTTAGGATTTTTAAAAATGATTAGCAAGCAAGAGGAAACTCACTTGCCACGGAAGATAGAAACTTTCTTCTTCCTACTGTGTTCAGTACTAGTTATGCCAGCACAGAACGTGAAAGGTTCAAAAAAAGAATATTGAGAAGAAGATTTAGGAATACAGAATGGCATCTGCACAATGGAGAGTGATGGCTGATAGAACTCTGGCTTGGAAAAGAGGCAACAACAAGGTGAAATCCTGGACTACAAAACCAAGGGAGCAATCATGAGCAGACTACATGGACTGCTGGCCTGTCCCAGTGTGGATGTTTGCATGTGGGAGGTTTGTAGGCTGCTTGCAATGATGTAGAAAATTGGCAGGGTAGTGTGTAAGGCTATTGTCATGCCCAGGCAAGACAAAGGCAAATACAGAAGAATTCCAACTTTCTTTTCTGAAGTGTTTGCTACTATGGATGAGGCTCAGAAAGGAAGGAGAGCCTGAAATTGTGTCATCTGGTCCACCGAAGGGATGACATCAGCTGTCCACCCTCAAAGCATCGTTTGGGTGGAACAGACCATGATTCCCTCTTTGGTTGCACCATGCGTCAGCAGGAGCAGCACACTGGGAGGGAGGGAAAGGCTTGCACCCGCTCCTAGCAATCTTCCACGGAGGGCTGAAGAGCAACGCAATGGATGTGGTCTCTGTACTTTGACCTTTGAGACAAGCCACCAGTGCCAAGCTTTCCCTTCCTCTTTTGTGCTGCGTAATAAGGGCAGGTCAGAATCCTGTCACTGGTTTGGAGGCTTATCAGCAATGTATCAGAGCTCACCCAGCCTCTGGAAAGCGGTCTGGAGCTCCCACAAGAAAAGATTTATTGTACTTTGTTCTTCCAGCTAGGCTGGAGTCGCCCTAAGAGCAGTTTTTCTCTCTCTTCTGACATCTGAGAGCTCTACTTCTGCCTGGAGCCTGGAAGCCTAGAGGTTGGCAAAAAGTAATCAAGAAGTAATTACCCTTTCAGAAATAATTCAGTTCAGGTTTGGATACAATTTTGGATGAAGGCTTCAGGGCAGCGGAGAATTTTTATTGTACTGGAGTCTTCTGGCTCTGCCTTAGGCAGCGAAAGGCTGTGTTTTAGCTTGCTCGTTAGGGCAGAAATAAGCTCACTCACAAAAGCATATGCATGCACGTATCTGTAACAAAGTTACAGCAAAAATCAGAGTTCATTAAAATTCCTCTTTGCAGTGTTCCTATCTTTAAAGGGAACAATTTCAGTTCTGTAGTCCTTGCTACTTTCCATGAACCCTTCATTTTTAATGAAAACATTTCCCTCTCTGATGCTTATGCTTCATCCAAAAGCTATGTTCTGTTGCAAAGATGGAGAGATGAGGGTCAACGGCAGTGCTCGCACAGCTGAAACGAGGCTGTTGCAACACCATCCTTGTGAGCAGCCTCTGCCCTCAGCCTCTGCCTGTAGGACTGGGCCTGGCAACGAGAGGACTCCCAGTTACCCACCCCAGGCCAGACTGTGTGCTCGCCGCTTGCCCTTCGAGGAGGAGGAGGAGGAGGAGGCGGCGCCAGGGCTGCCTGGCGCTGCCAGCTCTGCCGCATGTTGTTAGGCACCGTTTCCCTGCCCTCGGGCAGCGCCAGCTGGATGTCCCAGAGCTGCTCTGCCCAGCAACAAATACTAATTGCAAATGAAGCCTTGGAGGCTGCGCCTGCTTCCATAACAGCTTGCTCATCTCAAATGTCGGCCTCTCCTCCACTGCTCTGAGCACGGGCCTCCTGTGCGGCCTCCGTGGCTCCGCAGGGTGTGATGGGCGCCGCAGGTCACACACGCTGGGGTGGCCGCTGTGGGCCAAGCCTCAGAGAGGGATCGTGTCCCCTCTTCACTATCAGCAGTGCCGCTGAGGCAGGAGCTGCTGAGGTAACGTGTGCCTGGTGTGGGCCCTCAGCCCACCTGCAGGTGCAGGTGCTTGCACCGGGCTCCTCTGCCGGCGCTCCGTGTCCCTGGGGCTGTGTCGGGGCAGGGAAGGCGGCTCCCGCCTTGCTCCTCACAGCGGGCCATGGAGCTGGGGCCGGGCCGCGTGCCAGGGAGCCAGCAGTGCCAAGGGCCGGCCTGCCCTGGCAGGAGGCGGCAGTGGGCATGGAGCTGCCGAGAAGCACAGGTCAGGCTGTGGTGAATTATAATTCAGTCCTTGGCTCATCTCTGGAAGCAAATTGCCCTTCGCTATGGGTAGAGGGTAAGTGCAGAGTCTAGTCCTAAGTGAGTCCAGAGAGCTGAGATCAAGCAAACCATTATGTGTGATTTCCTGAACCTTTGGCATAAACCTCACATACAGAGGGTTGTTCCTGAAGGCAACTATTAACGTTATACCAATGTTGAAAACAATTATGTTTTATCTTGATAGAAGCCGAATTCTGTTGTGTGCCACAACGTACCACGCAATGCAAGATGCCAAAGCACGATGAGCTCCCTCCTTGAGCTGAAAAAGACTGGCAAATTGTGGAGCGTGGGCTCAGGCTGAGGAGGGAAAGCAAGATGAGAGGGAAAGCAAGACAAGAGCTGCCTTCTTGTTGGCCTCTGGCTGTGGACGGCTGAAGAGACTTGTGCCGAGGCAGTCACGGAGCAAGAGGGCAGTGAGGGGGAGAGGAGAGGTCTGCCACCTTCACCAGGGCGAGTGAGGCAGCAGCAATGACGAGCAGTGCCAAGGCTGCACTGGTGGGGTGGATGGATGCAGAGGATCGAGAAGGAAGGTTGGGCCAAGCAAGCGGGGCTCGGTGTTCCTTTGCACCATGCAGCAGTGAGGGTCTGCAAGCAGTGCTGTGGGCAAGTGGAAATCATTGCCAGCCAGCCCGTCACATGCACGCTCAGGGTGCTGCCCAAAGATCAACGTGTGCCGTGCTGCAGGAGGACAGCCAGCAGCAGGAGCATGCGTGCTGGATAGAGATGTCAGCTGCTGAGCTAATGGCTCGCGACAGACAAAATGATTTGCCATCAGGTACCTTTGAAGTGGATGTGATTTCTTTTCCACGGCCTCTTTTTACGCCTTAATTAGATTTCAAACTTGGTGGTCAGTGCTCCAGACAAAGCTTGCATGGCTCCCAGCAGGATTCTGGACCGCACCGGTGCCTGTGCTTGGGGGACGAGACAGTATTTTCTCAGTGTTGCCTTCATGCACCACAAGGACCCATTTGTGAATCAGCCCAACCCCACCCTTTCCTTCTCTTTATGGGTTTGGAGTGGAGCAATCTGGCTGCAGACCAGCAATGCAAGTAAGAATACGCTTAATTTCAAGCATGTGACTAGCAACAGGGGGCTGCTCCCATGCTGTGCCCAGAGGATACTGAGTGGGGGTCAGCACGTGGAAGCTGGGGTCCGTGATGCCCAGCATGGTCAGGCGAGGCCTCAACGCCTGCCCAAGGAGCACATGGCAGGGTGCAGCTGGCTGCTTCCCATCACCTTTTTGGGCCTTGTGCTGCAGCCCCAAGACCTCCCTGCACTTTGGCAAAGCCAAGGCCTGGCTCCTGCTAGCCCTGCCTGGCTACAGTGTCTGCCTGGTGGCAACAGCCCAGCAGATCTCACCTTCCCACTGTCTGCGCGCAGCTCGTGGCACTTTGCAATCTAGCACATGATCGCTTCAGTGGCTCGCACCAGTTTGTGTGAGCTTCCCATGCCAAGCAGCTGCAAGGCAAAAGAGGCAGCGCATTGCAGCGCGTCACTGCATGCACGTATCCCCAAGCCTTCCCTCGGCAGGCTGCAGCGGGCCACCTCTGTGCTCCAAGAAGGGACCCAGCTCCGCCTGCTCCTAAGGCTCGCTTTGGTGCTAAAGGGTTACATCCCGAGGGCTGCTCCTGCACGTTTCCATTCTGCTTCCTGCATTGCTTTCAGACAAAGATCCATTTTACTGGAAGAGATTTCTGCAAGCTGGAGCTACAGTCAAGAGGAGTTCACCTGATTAAGGACCTTTGCTTTTAAGACTTGCCAAAGACAATTAAGTGCTCTTTGTATTGAGTACAAACTCTGCATTGTATTGGGAAGTTTCCAGCTCTGCTGGTAATGGGATCCACAAAAGAGTAAAGATAGGCAGATAGAGACAGTTTTTAAAAAGAGAGCATAATTCACTAGCTACTCCCATATTACTTGGAGATACCATCTTGGGTCTGGTTGAAGTATCTAAGAAGAGAAACACACCATGGCTTGTTTGATTTGGGTTTTACCCCGTGGTACTGTATACCTCATTCATAATGTAGTTCCAAATTACTATTATCAAAATTTATGTGCATATTTCATGGTCTTTCATTTATTGCTACATACATATCATTTCAGTATGCTGGAATTCCATGACATTCCCCCTTGGCAAAAAGTATGATGTTGCATTTATGTTTACACTTAGTTATTCAAAATTTATTTCAGAGGCTCAGAAATGAAGGGGATTTTTGGACCAAAATTTCAACTTTTGCTTGAACTGAAACTGACACATGAAGATTTTCCTTCCAGACTATGTTTGCAGGTTAGTATTACTTTAGTTAAAGAGTGGACTTACAGTAAATTAATCTACCATTAAATTATACTCTTCTTTGAGATCACATTTTGTTGCACTTATTTCTTTGGCTTCCAGGAACAACTTTGACCCTTGCAAGTACTTCTTAAACGTAAGCAATGAGTTTGGTTCTTTGGTATTTGCTAGTTTGTGTAAGGTATAGATCACTAACAAAGTGATCATGTGTATGTACTTTGAAAGTTTCATGTATTTCAGCATGAATGATTAGCCACCTGAGACATCTTGTCAGAAGCATGTGTTTTCCATTTGCTATCCCTCATGCATCCTTCTCTTTCTTTTTAATAGTCTTATTAGGCCAGATGAATAAAAAAGCCAGGTAGGTGATCAGCAGAACAAAAATTGCCTATAGGGGACAGAAGAAATGGACAGTTCTTGAAGAATTTATTGGCAAAATAATCAGCCATGAAAGCAGATGATTTCACAGTAGCAGATATTTCACAGTCGCCAACTTGGACAAACATGTCTCACTGAGTTTTAGCCTTGAAAATCTGGCAGGAACTAGTCAGTTTTGACACCTATGATCCCTATATCTTTAGACTGTGCTCGCTTCTTACAGTGTAGTGTATACAAGACAATGTTTTGGTAGCCCATTTTTGCCTGAATATTTTCCCAGAAATTGTGTTTAGCTAGCCACCTGTAGTCTTTAACAAAAATGACTTTGAGTAAACATGCTTAACAATGTTAGAACCGACCATAAATTGAGGCAGTCAGTAAAGAGCAGGAGGGCTGGACTGGATGATCTCTAGAGGTCTTTCCCAACCTTAACCATTCTGTGAGTCTGTGATAAACAGCAGGGCAGAAAGAACGGAGCAGAACTCCACTGCATACAAAGTTAATTCCATACATGTTTAAATCTCTACCTTTTAAAGACTGCATATGCCTAATGCTAAGAACTTCTATGAGTACATATGTGAATATTAGCAAAATAGTGATTTCTTAGGAAAATATTTGTTGGACATTAGCCCCCTGCCTACAACCTCACCTCCAGGGATTCATGGAAAGCTATAAATACCATCTGCAAGGGTGATATGCCATTATAGATTAGAAATTAGCCAGGTGTATGACCAGATGACTGTAAGTGATCAAATTGCTGCTTGCCTGGTCTTAACCTACCCTAGGTATCAAGTTAAACATGTTGTCTTAAACCATGAGTGTGGCTGAACCTCCAGTGTTTTTACTCCTGTGAGCCTTAGAGAAGGAACGTTTGTGAGGGGTTCTGCAACTGCTTGACTGGAAGGCCACGTATCCCCTGGGGAGGATATGGCCCCATGGGAATAGAGTAGACAACAGGCCAGAAAGGTAAGCTCTAAACATGGTGAGAAGTTAACCATTGGCTTCACAGGGAACACTGGGAGGACCTGGAAAGGAATGAGAAGGGAACATGGTATCAATTAAACCTGACAGGGAGCAAGGGGGCTCTGCTGAGGGTTTTGTTGTGAATTGGTGCTGGCTGAAGAGCACTCTTTCAGCATCACCCTTCTGAAACAAAAAGGCAGATGTGGAATATCTCAAATAGTGCCACTGCCAGATAGATTTTCCTGAGAGGACTAACACATTTGGGCCTGTTGTGTGTCATCCCAAAGCTTTTGCTCACTGTATATGAGGCTGCAGGGAACTCAGCAGACCTTCCCTGTTACTCTGCATGAGATTTGGACACAGGCAAAATCCTGTAGAGAGACTGTTGATCCCCCTCCTCTCACCCAAGATAGCTATCTGTGAAACTGAACTTCACCCGTGGAAAATAGGACATGAAATTCAACTTGCTTGACCCCCATTCTTTGAGGGTTAAGCTAAACTAGTTTAAATTACCTCTGTTGCGCTGTGGGCCAAAAGATGGAGGGATTGCTGGCTTTAAAATTAACTGAGCACTCAGATACATCTCTCTGACTTTTATATTAACCAAACCACTTAAGAAGAAAACCTGAGAGTGTAGTCAACTCTTAATGCTTCTTGATAGCATCTGGTACTGATCATTGTCAGGTATGAAATACTAAACCCTTCAGCCCACTGTCTGATCTGGTTTTGATAATTCTTGCTTTCCTTAAAAAAATCTGGACAAACTTTTTTAAAGTGTTTCCATATTATGCTTGTTAAAGTGCTCATGGAAAAGACTATTTTTGGGTGGTGATCCTTCTTTTACTACTCATACTATTGTGCAGCAGTGAATGATGGCCGGTTGCCACTTCCAAGTTCTTTACCAACTCCTACCACTCACTACTTCTGATTCATTACTTCAGCACATGTCTCAAGTCCCAGTGCAGAATCTATCAGGTCATAAGTGGTGAAGGCATCATCTGCTACCAGCTGTGGGCAGATATGCTAAAACACAGTATGCTGAGGAGTCTCACAGCTTGCAGGTTTGCTAAGTGAACGTGCAAGCCCCTATTTTGCAATGAGCTCTGTGTGGGTGTGTCCATGTGCTGTCTTACTTCACCAGGCGTCTTTGCATAGATCCCTTTTGAAGGTTTATTTTTCTACTTTTTTGGAACTGTTGGGCTTGTAATTTGCATACCTTACAGATCTCTCTGCAAAACTTTACCAGTTCCATCCTTTTTATGACATCCTTTTTTTTTTTTTCCTAGCTCCTGCCATTCTTATGTCATGGTTGTTCTTATGCACTAAAATGTGCTAAAATGCCTCATTAAGATGAACAGTTTAAGGGGGAGGATTTTTAACCTACTTCATTTTGAACATACTTAACACAAATCTGTGGATTAAAGCTAAATTCATCAATTTCTTCTTAGCGTGACATCACATGTAAATGATTCTTCCAGCTGCACAATGACAAACATTGACAAAATAATGTGCTCGAAAAAGACTTGGTGTGATTTTGCAAATGCATTCCCTGGCAATCTTTCTTCAACCTGCTTTAGCAGCAAACGAAAACAGAAAAGAATTCTCGAGATTTGGGCCAATATTCACAAATGCAATCTTCCTCAAGGCTATTAAATCTCTGATTGTGACAGATAGGTACAGCTTGAAAATATTCTTCATCTTAAAGCCTTTCAGTATTACCTCGTCTGCACGTTGCCATTGCCTGCAAAGCCTAATGAGCAATAATTTTCTTGAACCATAGCTTGCTGCCTAAGGTCTGGTATTTCTGTCTATCCTTCTTTCTCTCATTTTGGCTCCTACTTTGATGGTTTCACTTTAGTCAGATTAGCAAAAAAGATAAAGATGCGTTTCTACTAATAAGTCTCCTGGAGTCCCAGCCAATTGGCTGAAGGGCTGAGGATGTTGAAAATACATATCCAATTATGATCTGGCTGAGGCTCCCATTTGGCTAATGTATCAAATGTCAGTTCCAACTGAAAAAAGCACACTCTGTCACTAATGTTGTTTTATACATAGCACAAAGTGTACTCTTGAGAAATAGCCTCATCTTCTGATACTCTGAAAACCTTTCTTAAAAAATCAGGGAAGGATAAATTACCCAAAAGTTCAAACCCAGACACACAGAAAAAAGATTTATGCAGGTTTCTCCACCAAACTAGGGAACAGAGAGACGAACATGTTTAAAAACCTTGATTAATTCCATGCCATAGATTTTTCAAAATATGCAGCAACATGTGCCCAAATATCACAGATGAGCATCTAAATCAACATCTCTAACCATTTTCTAATTGCAGAAGAAGCACTAACAGCCTACACGTGTTTTATCCACCAGGGAACGAAGTAACAGTTCAAGAATACAAAACTATGAATTGGAGGAACTGTGGTTAAGGTAAGGAAACTGTCCAGGGATTATGTATTATTCTATCCTTCTACTCCCAAGTCATTCTGTTCCAAGCACTGCTATTGCACGGAATGCTAAAGAATTAAAGTCTTGTTCTCACTCGTAAGATGCATTACTGTTTGCTTTACTCTTGCCTTTCCCCCTTTTTTAGCAAAAGTATTCTATAATGCACTGGAGTTTTGTGTAAAAAAGAGTCAATATTATTGTTTAGTTTTCCAAGATGAAAGACTGCTGGGTAGAAAAGATCCTCCTCTCCATTTGTGGGTTGTACTGCCTGTGCTTAGTAAATGTTTATTTATTTTTTTATGTCTTGGAAAGTAGACAAGTACTGTGGTTAAAAAAGATTCTCTTTTCTTTGGTTACTGGCAAAAAAAGATAAAACAACTATAAGCTGAGGCAGGAGAAACCAGAATATGTGAACATGTTCCAATATTTTAGTCCCAAATCAGTCAGCTAAAAATAAATACGTTAAGTCTTCAGAGAGTTGGTCTCAGTAATCATTCGTGTGTCTCATAAGCATAGTTTACTTTTGCAAACATCAGCTCTCATGTACTTTTCTCTTTGATATTCACTAATACTTGAGCACACCAAGTACCTGTACTTCCCGTTTCTTCCACAATACATTTGTTTTAAGTATAGCAGATTAATAACTAAACAGTGCCACCACTTAAAAAAATAATTTCTGGCCTCGGTAATTCCTCTGCATATGTTCATTCAAAACAAAATGAGTGTTGATCAAAGTCAAGGTATGACCTTCTCTTCCTCTCTCCTGAAAGATCCTGTTAATCCCTTAGACCTAGATATTTGATAACCCTCAAATGGTATTTAGGATGGGTGCCTAATTTTTTTTTTTTTTTTTTTTTTTTTTGTAGACCCAAGTCCTGCCTGGATTTCCACGCACACAAAACACTGTGGATAACACACAACCCTTAAAAAGCCTTGGCTTTTGAAAACCAGTGCCGAGGCACTTGGGAGGGGAGAAGCCAAGCAGGGAATGGTGATGGGAGCTGTGGTGGGCGCAGCTCACAGCACAGCGGGCTCTGGAGGCCCAGGCTGGAGGCTCTGGTGTTGGCTCCTGATGTTGTCCTCCTAGGTTATGTTTGCACTGCTGAGCCCAGGAGCTCTGCTCCTTTTTGACATCGTGCACAAAACCCACACAGAAGGGCCAGGACCTGCCACCTGCCCTCGCAGCGGAGCTCAAGGTCACCGGGCTTGCAAAGGACAAAAAGGTGCTTAAGGGAATTTCAGATTCTTGACACTCATTGTAACTTACTGTGCTATATATTTTTAAAGTCACTGGCATTCCTTTCATTGCCAGAGGTTAGGCCTGGCAAGGGCAGCGCTTTGTCGCTCTAAAAGTGTTTGTGGAGAGCTCAGCTAGCTAGTTATCATTTCAATTTGTCTTTTTAAAACTAGGCCACTAGGGCCTGGCAAATGGCCTGGAAAAGTCTATATAGGCTTCGTGCTGTCAGCTCAGTTTTACAGATCTCATTTTGGTTTGGCAGGTTTCAGGCTGCCCGGGGAGTCATTTGGCCAGTGTCTTGTTAGTGCCGAGGACATTTTCCAAGTCAGAACGTAGCCAAGTTGTCATGAACTTTACTAATGGAGGATGGAGTGCAGAGGCTGTAGGTTGGAGTTGTTTTTCCGAAGGCTAAACCCAAATCCTGAACACGCAAAATGGAAAATGTTGCAACAGGCAGCGTGAGATCTAGAAAGCAATCCTTGGTCGGGCTACCAGCTCGCCGGCCATATTTGCACCAGGCCCGAGCAGGCCGGCGTCAGGCCTAGGCTGCTGCGAGTGGGCCGAGGGGAGCGCAGCGGCCGGGCCCTGGCCAAGAGCCCATGGGCAGCCCAGCTCCTGCGTCCACATGAGGGATAGGCATCTTTGGGCCACCAAGGGTGGCTTAGGAGCTTTGCAGACAGGTCATTTCTCTTCCTCAAGGCGACAACGCCTCGTACGTCCTCAATTTTCAAGAAGGCCACTGTAGACTTACTAGTAAGTCTACAGTCTACAGTCTACTAAGTCTATTACTATATTTGCATTTCTTTGACCATTAGAAGTCAGATATATAGGATAGTTCAGTCACTGAAGAAAAAACATCCTAGCTCTTCTCTTGAGCACCAGATCTTTATTTAAGCTCCAGGCCCAAAGCAATAAAAGTATATGCAGGGATTGTACAAGAGATTCCAGCATTTGACTGCTATGGAGTAAGCAGGAATATGGTTGAAAACTCTCAGTGGAGTGTGTGTGGGTATAAGCATGCTCACACAACTGAAACATCTGTGCTGGTAAAAAGAGAATCAATGCTGAGAGAAAAGCAGAACACCTGCCTCTCCCACAGTTATTTTCTTTGGAGCAATACAGATTATGGAAAACAAGAATTTAAACTCCCATTTCAAAAAAAAAAAAAAAAAAAAAAAAAAAAGGGGGGAAGAGAAAGGAAGGGAAGGAGAGAGAAGGAAAAAGGGGAGTATATTTCAGACTGCAAGTTAAATGTTGTGGGACTGGTCTTATTTTGCAATATAACTAACTAAAAAGGTCTTTAGAAAGATATGAAAGAACTTCCCCCTTCACCTCCATAACTAGATCTTATTACTGGTATATTATTGTGAGAGCTATCGAATTAAGTTGCCTAATACTTTGAAGATAATACATTTACAAGCTTTTTGAAGAGGTTCTGACAACCTTTTTACTCTCAAAAGACCTTTGAAGGCTTGTGGGTGAAAAAAAAAAACCTTTGTCCCATGAAATTTAATGCAGGAGTTGCAAAGAAAAATCGTGCCAAAATTCCCTATTATTATTCCCTCCCTTGTTCTCTGGGAAATAATGCGATAGACTTGTGTGGAACCACTGCAAAATGAAGGAGAAACAGTCACCACATTTGGATCATGTCCTCATTCCTAAAAAAAAAAAAAAAAAAGTGTAGAGAATGTAATGGGAATGAGCCAAGAGCATTCAACAGGACCAAAAAGGAAGTTTATAGAAAGGCCTCCGAGATACTTGCACTGTATTTTAATGCTGAGACCCAGAGAGTTCTAAAAATCTCAAATAGCATTTTCTAGGAAATTATATATGTGATATGAGAATGATTTGGGTTAGTTAAATAGTACTTATGTAAAATTATTGGTTCCAGTTACATTTTCTAAGCCACTTTGGAACCAAAAGAGAGTCCCAGCATCTCCCTGAAAAGTCAGATCCGCTCAGAGAACTGCAGGTAGCCCAGACTTATATACTCATGTAAGGTACATAAAAGATACTTTTTGATCTGCTTAGTAAGTCAGGAATGAGGACTAAGCTCACAAAGCCAGGTATCGTGATGTTACGTTAGTCAAGACAACAGCGTGTCTTCAAATTAGCAGTGTCTGTGATTCTGTCTGCTGTTCTAGGGTATATTTAAGCTCTGTGTACTATTTTCACATGCAGTTTTATACATTTGAAGGCTATAATTAAATTTAAAAATAATGAAAAACTTATTTGAATTCAAATTAGATAGAAACCATGCCTTAGCCTTGAGCCTTTTTTTTTTTTCCCCTGCATTTTTTCTGCTTGTGGGTTTTGTTGTTGTTGCTATTGCTCTGTTTTAAAGAAAGAGCAAAAAGACAGTGGAAAAACTCTACATCTTTATTTTAATGGTAGCTTTTGGATTTCAAAAGAATTTGGATGGGCTAAGGATGGTGTCAGGAATGTGATGTCTGAGACACAGTGAGGAAGTTTCTAACATTTTCCTGATCTATATAATGTTTCTGTGAAGAAAAGAAGACTTTTTAATAGGGCACTTGCCTGGGAGGTAGGAGAGAAAGGTCTAATTCCCAACTGTGCCCCAGACTTTCCATTTGACCTCGGACTAGTCACTCAGAGCAGGAGCACATCACTAACCTGAAGCCATCCTGAAGATAGGTATCTAAGCCTAGCTAGTTATTTAGGTCTCCTGTATCATTCAGGCAGAATGACAGGCATGTCCAGAGTACAGTTCATCCTATTTTAGGACAATTGTCCAAGAAAGAAGGAATGAATCACTCTCTGGAGATACCTGTCTATCTTCATTGACTGTAGAGCGAGTCTAGATGACTAGCTCTGATTAGATGCCTAATTTCTGGGGTAGGTAAAAAGGGAGGTGAGCTGGAGCCCACCCTTAGTCTTTGTGTACTTCTGTACTCATATTTGTGAAACAGACATGTTGTCCTCATCTGAGGGCACCTCCAGGATAAATATGAGAAGCTTGGGACATTCTCATGTGTGACACTCAGGAGGGAGACATAGGCATCAGAGAGCACTTTGTTAGAATATATCTCTGGTTCTTAAGATGGGAATACTTTTGTAATGAGGGAAAACTCTCCAAATGAAAGGATTTTTTTTGTAGTGCAATGACTTTCTGAGGTGAAAGTATCCACTGGAGCTTTTGACACCTCTTGTGGTGCCAGAAAAGTGCAGTCTTTGCACGTAGCGTATGTATTTGAATCCTGCTGGTGGCTGCTACATTAGAAATACAAAATATCTGAAGTAGCTTAATGGAGGGCTGATCAGAGACCTTCTGAGGATGAAAAAGACTGTATGCTGAAAATGGGAGAGCATGGAAGCAATATTTTACCAAGGGAGTTACAACCAGGATGAGAGGCAAAAGAAATGTTCACCACCAGTAAAAGAAAAAGGTGAGATACCAGCCTTATAGAAGTGATTCAACCTTGCAGTTAATTCTTCTCTTTGAAAAACCTTAAAACCTTCTGCACAGTGTACCAGACTCTCAGCCTTTCCCTCCCACTGCCACTCAGGACAGCAGCAAACAGGGTAAAGAAGCTGTGACACTGTTCTTCATGTGAAGAAGGTACATCATGTTAAAAGGGTCCTGTCTCAAGGGATGCTTGTGTTGCAGTCACTTAAGACCAGATGCACTTGTCAAGTGCCCTCATATTCTTGCAAGCTGTCCTCAGGTAATCCTGCATGTTGGAGATGTGTTGTCACATGGACCGTCACACTTCCTGCACAGAATGTGAAAGATCTGAACTTGCTGCATGTCCTGGTACTGCTCTGGACTTCGGGTCTGCTTGTAATGAGTGCATGCAAACTGAGGTAGGAGCCAACACAGTTTCTGATAATCAGGAAACTGAAATTGCCCACATGGCAAGGCTGGCCAGGGACTAATTTGGAAATAAGCTTCCAAGTCTTTTGGTTCCTACTCCACATTTTGTCTGCTGGAGATAGTACCTCTTCTAAATAGGGATTCTTGTTCCCACTCCAAACTATGGATTCCAGCCCTTGTGTAAAGTGCCCTGAAATAAGAAAGCTCTATAAAAGTGTCAGCATGAATTAGTGCTTCTCTTGCTCTGGATAAACCACAGATATTGAAGGGAGGCAAAAAAACTCTCCAGTTCTGATGATATTTTTTGTCGGGTTAGCGGGAGGCCGATTTAAACCCTGCAGTATAGCTGTATAGTTCACATTCAGCTCCAGTACCCAGTGCAAGACGAGGCCCTTGCGAGCTGCAGCAACTGTGCACCAAAGGCTGCAATATTTCTGTCTGCACTGCTTCCAAACGACAGTGAATCTGTGCAGTCGGACGCCATTCGTAAAGTTTTACAAGGCACTGGGCACTTTTGTCGCAGCAGCGTCCATGCCAGCATGCAACTTGTTCATTTTATGTTCTGAACATAACATTGTCCACATGAGCTTCACAGTTGGCGGCCACCAGCAGCTGTTTTTCTTTATTCACCAGCTGGCATACTGAATGCAGTCAGCTGTAATTCACTTTTTCATTCCCAGCCATGAATACTGATGCAGCTTTAGAAGCTGAGTTTGCATTCACATGGCTCATTTTTACTAGACCCTGTGGGAGGAGGGGAGAGAAACACCGTTTATTTCAGGACTGGTCCTACATAAAGCTGCCTTTTGCAAGAGAATGATGGAGACATATCTGCTTTCATAGGATAGATGTGTGGCTGTACTGTAAGGGCTTTGAAAAGATGCTCTTATTTTGGGGTGC